GGTAACTGTTTTAACAAGTAACCATATTAAAGGAATTACCTTTTTATTTTACGTTAACTTTTTACTGACAAACTCTTGAAACAAAGTAAACACAAGACTTGCAAAGCCAGAAAATAAAACAAAGAACATGTGGCTTTGCTTTTATCAGATGTATCGAGAGCTTTTTATTCTTTAAGGATTTCATTTTCATGAACAGAGATTTAAAGAAGAGTTGACACGATGTTAGCTGCGGTTGATATTCACTATTTATGACGCTTAAGAGGGCATCAATCTGATATGTCATCAGGAAATAAACTCAGTATTTTAAAAAAGAAAACAATACTGGAGGCTGTACTGCCCTCCAGATTCACACCGGAGTCAAGTATAACACAACCTTACTAAAGAAATCAGTATGTAGTCCAATCAAAAATAATGGATAATAATGGATTTAATTTGATCATTTAGGATATATTTGCTCTGTGGTGCTAACTTTGAGATCACCAGATCAGATTTAGAGATTCAGGATAAAGTAATTTCACAAAAACATTAATCAATTAATACAAGAATTAAATACATATATCAAATGGGTCATGATTTGACCTATTTGATATATGTATTTATATCTAATTCACATTTTACATTGACCATTTCAAATGCTTGCCCAAAAACAAAACAAGCTAGTGGTCATATTAATGATTAAAGGATTTATCTTCAGCCTGCTAGGTTTGTTTTGCTTCCAAGGACTCTAACTGAAATCATGCAAACACAAACACAATTTAAAAACACAACTGATAACATAACTGATTTTGTGTAAAAATGTAAGAAGAATTTTGAATAAAATATTGCACATAAAAACATTAACTGCAGTTAAGTAAGTTAAGTTGAACAAATATAAGGAGCAACAAACTTTAACTGTAGAGAAACCAAACTGATGTAATATTTTAGATTGCATCTTGAGATTGTTGATCTGCTCTTCCACATTAGCTCTCCTGCTATTAGCCAGAAAAATAGCATCTTAAAGTACTGCTAATATTTGAAGGGCTGGAGAAAAGAATATTTGTGCCCTTTTTTTAAAGCACTACTGAAAGCATAACTAAGAGTACTGCTCCTCTTACAGTACCTCCTCATCCATGTTCAGTTTTGCACCAATGGGAAGAGTGCGTAGAGCCTCACAGACTGCTTCCTCATCCCTGTACGCCGGCACCACGCTGAAGCGGAAATTAAGCTCGTCAATAGGCAAACTGTAACGCCGGGCATGATTCTGCAACACTCCTACAGGCCATCAAAGACACAAGAGCATTGAAACAAGTCACTGTGCTGTTTAGCAAAATCTACCAATAAACACAAATTTAATTAATAGCTCTCTTTTAAACTTCATTCATTTATTTTTACACTGTATACTTGAAAGAGTAGTCAGAGTGATCATTGTAATCCTCAAGCTCAGCTCTAAAACTGTGCTTTACTGTTGGCATTATTAAAAAACATAGAGCATGTTTCAGTGTGTTACCAGTAAGAAAGCCTTGAGGGAAGAAGAACCCTGAGATCCAAAGTGATTTGGGCTGACCACGTGTGATCCAAGTCTAGCAAGAGAGGAAAAGAGAAGAAGAGATGCAATTAAAATATAAGTATCTTTAAATAACGATATCTTTGTTTATGCAGTATCTCCTTCTTTTATTCAATATAGTGCATTAAAGGCATCCTGTAAGTCAGGGGTGTCGAACTCCAGGCCTCGAGGGCCGGTGTCCTGCAGGTTTTAGATCGCACCCTGGGTCAACACACCTGAATCAAATAGTTAGTTCATTAGCAGGCATCTGGAGAACTTCAAGACATGTTGAGGAGGTAATTTAGCCATTTGAATCAGCTGTGTTGGATCAAGGACACATCTAAAACCTGCAGGACACCGGCCCTCGAGGCCTGGAGTTCAACACCTGTGCTGTAAGTGACCCAGTGAATCAGTTTACATTGGATTTTGTTT